AGATAAGGAAGGAAAACGACATTGGAAACTCTTTCAGCGTAAATGAAATCATGGAATCCATCGATGAGATAATCACCTTAAAGGAGACAACTGAACTAACGACAAAGACGTTGTTTGGTTTCGATCAAACCAAACAAAGCAACATCAGAATCCAACAAGAAAGATTCATGAATAACAGGGCAGCTCCCATCCAAAGGAATAAACCCACATGTCTTTGTGGAGAAACGCACTCTCCACAGCAGTGTAATAAATTCAGCTCACCAGAGGAGCGTCGAGCAGAAGCCAGACGACAAAGAGTTTGCTGGAGGTGCTTCAGCAAGGGACACAATTCTAGACTATGCTCTGCTGTAAGCAAATGCCCTAAATGCAGTGAAGACCACCATTCTTCACTCTGCACTTCTACAAATCAACTTCAAGTACCAAACTCGTCAGCTCAGAGAGGGTACCAACCTCCTGGTAAATTCCAAACTCAATCAAGATTTACCACTTCGACGGACAACAACCGGTTCAAGCAGCCTCCAAGGTCGAATAATCAGCAACGGGAGAGTAGTCGAGTCCAAGCACTACCAAACACGACTCCTCAGGAGAATATAACAGTCGGACAAAACCAACCGCCTCTCAATCAACATGTGCTACAAATTGCATCAGCACTGATCTTCAACGAATCAGAGTTCGATTATCAAACGATAACTCTTCTCCTAGATTCTGGAGCTCAAAGAAGCTTTATCAAATCATCACTTGGAGCTTCGCTGAAATTACCAACGTTCAGCACGACATCGTTCACTACTATAGGAATGGGAGAGTTACAAGAGTCCTTCAAATCTGATGAAGTTCGAATTACCTTGAAAAGCTGTCATAGCTCAACCAAGCTGCGTAATATACCAGTCTTCACCAAAGACAAGCTGACCACTACCACGAGGACAGCGAACCTATCAGAAGAAGATCGAAACTTCATAAAGGGAAAGAAGATCTCGATTGCGCAGAGGAACCTTCTTCCTATGAACGTATCGCCTGACATACTCATAGGACAGGACTTACTGCATCAAATTCTTGACCACAATGCTGCAGTTATCAAGCTGCCATCCGGATTAGTTCTCACACCAACTATATTTGGGTACACAATTTCCGGCACCAGCGGCTTTCCTAGTTCAACGAAGAGCAACTCAGAAGCACAGTGCAGCTCACTCATCGTTGCTACTCCACTCATTTCTCAAAAGACGATTACAAAATGGATATAAAACATCTGTATGAATTAGAGTCACTTGGAATAAACACAGATAGTGGCACTGATGAAGCATCCGTCATCAAATTCATGGAGGATTACAGAAAAACCATAACTATCGAGAATGGGAACATCACTGCAGGATTTCCGTTCACCGACGAAGTTAAGAACCTGAAAGACAACTTCAGCGTTGCTTATCGAAGACTTCAAAGTCTAATGCGTACTCTTCACGGAGACGAGGAGAAACTCAAGCTATACAACGACACGCTCACGACATATCTTGAAGAAGGAATCATAGAGGAAGCGGACAACTTTTCAAACAGCGTCGCTACCTTCTACCTCCCTCACAGACACGTATGGACACCTTCAAAGTCAACCAAGCTTCGAGTAGTGTTTGATGCATCTTCACATGCGAAAGATGAGTGTAGCCTCAACGACGTCATCTTTGAAGGCCATTCACTAACACCACTAATCCACGAGGTGGTGCTGCAGTTTCGCACGCATCTTTACACCATGGTGGCCGATATACAAAAAGCATTTTTACAAATACGACTGCCCAAGGAGCATAGAGATGTCACAAGATTCATCTGGGTGAAAGATACATCACTCCCACCAGCAGGGAACAATCTCAAGTATTTCCGCTTCTGCCGGGTTCCTTTCGGCATCAATGCAAGTCCAGCTATCCTGAACCAGTCGATACTGAAGCATATCGAAGGGTCACAATCGGATATCGTCGCAGAACTTTCCAACTCCCTCTACGTAGACAATGTACTACTCGAAGGAAGAAATGCAAACGAATTAATTCGGAAATATGCTGAATCTAAGCGACTATTCGCTTCCATTGGAATGAACCTGCGTGATTACCTCTCCAACTCGGTTGTAGTCAACAAAAACATAATGGATTCTGATCGAGCAAATTCAACTGAAATCAAAGTTCTTGGAATTCACTGGAACGCCATCGAGGACACTATCACCTTGCAGTGTTCCAAAAAGCAAGTCAACAAGATCTCCAAGCGCACAGTTCTTAGCCAGATCAACGGATATTGTTACGATCCGCTTGGTTTACTGTCACCATTGATGATACCAGCCAAGATATTCCTCCAGGATCTTCATAAGCAAAAATACGGATGGGACGATCCACTGTCTGAAGAAGATCAAAACACTTGGAATTCCATTACGGCTAATATAGTCGGGTTTGATATCAGCTTGCCGAGGAGAGTCGTTGAGAAGGACGGAACGACACAGCACACACTGTCGATATTTGTGGACAGCTCTAAACGAGCGTACGCTTGTTGCATCTACGTGACAACTACATCTAGGGCAGGCATCAAGGAGACGAAACTCCTCACTGCGAAATCAAAAATCGCACCGATCAAGAAGGAACAAACAATACCACGCCTGGAGCTTCTCGCCATATTCATTGGAATAAGTCTAGCCGAATCCACTATCAACAAGATAGATGTGAATTTTGAGCAAATTAACCTCTTCAGTGACTCAACAATCGCCTTATGCTGGATGCAAGGATACAAACGCCTACCCTCTATCGTGACCACACTAGTCCAAAAGATTGGACTCATTACGAAACGAGTACGAGAATACAGCAACGTCACCTTCTACCATGTACCTACACATGAAAACATTGCGGACTGCGCAACAAGAGGAGTGACTAAAAACGACTTTAGATGTCATCGCTGGTGGTCCGGTCCAATATGGTTAAACATGCCTGCGGAAACCTGGCCTGTTAAGGACGCTACCAATCTACGCGAACAAAGCTTCGACCACGAAATTGAAGCTTATACTTCTACGGAGCAGGTCAAACATCCAATATGGTCTTTGGAGAGAACGAATGACTACTCAAAATTGATCCGAATCACAGCGTACTGCGCTCGATTCATTCGTAAAGCGACAAAGGGCAAGCGACTGGCTCTGAAGGATTCAGCGATAGTGACAGCTACACCGTCAGCAGAAGAAACTATCATAGCGGAACATCTCCTCATCCGCCAAGAGCAATCCATCCACAATTCCGAGCTACTCATGCAGAATACGCAGTTGAATGTGAAAATGGATGACAATGGCATACTAAGGAAGTATAGCAGACTACAGAACGCAGATATCAGCTCCAGTACTGCCAATCCAATTCACATACCGAAGCAGAGCAGACTGGGATACTTGATCGCATCTCGATTACATAAGGAATCATCTCACTGTGGAACAAACCAGCTTCTCTACAGTATCAGACAGCGGTATTGGATCCCACAAGATAGATCTCTCTGCAAGCGAATCCTCAAACATTGTGTTATATGCAGAAAACACAATGCTGCACCATACAAGTATCCAAACATGGGTCCTTTGCCTACGGAGCGTGTTACGAAGTCACCTCCTTTTTCTCACACTGGAGTCGACTTTATGGGACCTATCGTAGTGAAATCATCGAGCGGAGAAGACTGCAAGAGATATGTCGCCTTGTTCACATGTCTTGTAACTAGACTTGTTCATCTAGAAGTAGCAACAGATTTGTCTGCCAGAAGCTTCATTTTCACGCTGAAAAGATTTATCGCTCGTCGAGGAGTTCTACAGAAAATCATCAGCGACAACGGGACGAATTTCCAATTGACTGAGAGCTTGCTCAGTAACAACCAGAATAGCAATGAGGATTCCCATCTCTCGTTATTTCTCGCTGAACATAGAATTTCATGGAACTTCATCCCACCCTCATCACCGTGGATGGGCGGAGTATGGGAGAGAATGGTCGGTACAGTAAAGCGATCTATGCAGAAGACGATCGGTCGACGCAAGCTGAATGACGAACTACTCCAGACCACTCTCTGCGAAGTAGAAAGTGTCGTCAACTCAAGACCTCTAACTGCGATCGGTGATCAAAATTCACCATGCGACGCCTTGCGACCAATAGATTTCATCTATAAAGATGTTCGGCATGGAACCATACAGCTTACATCGGAAGAAAATGACGATGATCCAGACTTCCAGCAATCTCCTGAAATTCCGTCTCAAAAAGCAGCGAAACAAGCCATATCAGAGACCGAAAAGATAACCAAAAAATTCTGGAGTATTTGGAAGAACGAATACCTCATGGAATTAAGGGACCGTCACAAAGTCATTGGAAAGAAGACAAGGTCGTCAGATCAGCATCCTCGCATCGGAGACGTGGTGCTCCTTGACGATGACTCGCCACAGCCAAGAGGACAATGGCCAATGGCTGTAATTATTGATCTAATCAGAAGCAGAGATGGAGAAATTCGAAGTGCTCTACTTCAAAATTCAACAGGAAGGACTGTTCAAAGACCGGTCAATCGTCTCATTCCTTTGGAAATACAGTCCTCCGCCCAGTCTTCGGAAGACCGAATTCACGAGCCTTCGACAGTAGAACAGAGGACCACAGTCCGGAGAAAACCATCCTCCAAATTGTCAAAAAAAGACGTGGTCATAAGACATCAGCCACCAAGAGCTGCAAAAAATCAGGCATCTTACAATGAAGCAAGATCCGGTTCCAAAAGCTCCAGCAACTCGAGCTCAACCACGCTTTTCATGATCGCCATGTGTGCGCTTTCACTTTTCAACTCAGTGTCTGCAGCAACAATATCCTGTTCAAGCAAGGGAGCAACGATTAATAGGACGCACTTCACTAAGGCGGAGCTCTGTATAAATTACAGAGAGTGCAAGCTTATCCCAGAAGGGAATAACGTGACCGAAGTTGCCCTACCATTCAAGTACATCGTCAGTCAACACACCATTCAATGGCGGACGATCGTTGACTCCAAACAATATACAGAAACGATAGTCTGTCCAGCAGGAGACGTGTGCCAAAAAATCAACTGTATTATGTGCACAGAATTTTTCGGAAATCCTCACTGCGCCCCTCGATTGGCGATAGGGATCTTCGCACTCTGCCTGGCAGCCATCCTCACCCCACTATCATTGTTATGTTACATGACCTGTCGACTGACACTCTTCAAACGAGGCTGGACACGAATTAAAAGAATACTCGAGCAGAGTCATATTCAGCAGCAGAAAAAGGAGAGCTTTTCAATGACGAAGTTGTCTGCGCTACCAACGACCTCAAAACTGATCATATTCAGCGTCGTATGGTCATCTGTTCTCCAACGGACAATCGTGGCCAGTATACGCACACATTAAACGCAAACAACACAGTTTGCTCTCGATCACCTACAAGACCGACTGCCGAGAAGTTCAGAAAGCACCATCACCCTCAGCGAAAATAGACCTCAAGCTTGCTTTCGCCTTCGGAAGGGAACCAAACAATAGGTAAGCATGGAAGTACAGTTGCATCATGTTTTTCTGACTGCAACCCAGTCATGCTTTTCTACACAAGAGACGTCGACATTATCACGGAATCTGTAAAGCGATGTGACCTAGCTGGCTCCTGCACCTCACGGAAATGTACACACATCAGCAGCAGGACTGAGATTCCTGAACTACGCGACACCTACGAATATCCTGGAATCGCACGATGTACCACATCGTGTGGTGGACTTGGATGCGGATGTGTCCCTTCCTATGCCTGGATGCCTATTCTCTCGTTCTTATGCAAAACCGAAGAACAACAAGATCTACCGGTATTCCATTGCCCAACCTGGCACGGAATCCGCTTTGATAACATTCACCTACCACCGGAGCACAAGGAACAAAGCATCTGATACGATTACGATCGATACACAAACAACGCATGTCATGAAAGATGCCAACATCACTTTGAACTTTATTACAATGCCAGCAATTCCACTATTAGGCACATTATTTGTGCTAACGGTCGACTTCAACCACTCAGAAATAGCTACGATTGAGGAAAAGACTTTCTTAGCCTACGATGTTCAACAATGAAAAGTGCCTCCAACATATCGGAATGTTACGTCGAAGACAGGTGCTCGTGCTCATCATCGGAAACAGAAGCAAAATGCGACTGCAGAAATCTGAACATTAGCAGCAAGATGCGATCAACAGAGAGCCGGCTTCCACTATCTTCCTCAGTCCTGCATCTTCAGAACAATCATGGAAGAGTTTTCGGAGCCGTACACAGTGCTGTGGTCGATCTCACGATAGCACTTCTGCACAAACCATGCTGATTCTATAAATTGACAGCGAGAACTGCGAAATAACTACATCATCACTTCACGGCTGCTACAACTGTCTGCGAGGAGCTGAAGTCACGTTTTCGTGCTATTCCTACCGACCAGTCACTATAGAAATAGAATGCCAGGAAAATGTTCTCGGCAATATGCAATTCGTCCAGCGGCCCGATCAACGGCGACTATTCACGCAACAGTACCAAGATACAAAAATAGCTGTGTAGTGAAATGCGGAAGCAGAACGCACAATCTCGTCATATCAGGGATATTGGCGTTCCATACGCACTGGAGAACACCATCTGACCAGCGCATGATCAATGCCGCCAACTATGTCAACATGTTCAACTATCCTGATCTGGGACATCTACTAGATGTCGCTATGGACCACTGGAAGTCGCAATGATGGCTTTCTTAGCAGTCGCCGTCTTCGTGGCTGCAATGGTCTTCACTATTCCGAACCTCATCACGCGAGCATTTGTTGAACAACTGTCGCCACAGTGACCGGATTCTAGTCAGATAGATTTTATGGATATGAGTGTACTCTTTGAATGTCTTCATATTTGCTTATTTTTCAGTCGTTTGCGCAATTGATAACTCTTGTGTCTTTGCTTGTACTTGTACTTTTGAATATCCATTTTGCTCGAAATTGTATTAGTAGCTACCGCTAATTTTCGCCCCGCCCCAGTGTTTGGGATACGCAACCTATATATTTCTACTAGAGCTAGGATTCATATTAAGTGAATGATAACGTGCTAGTTCAATCTATTTACCTTAGGACGTTCTATAGATGAGTATCTCTTGAAATGATACCGCAGGCATGACCTAGCGGTATCATAAGTGTGCAATCAAGTAGGTAACTTAAAATATTGCTGTGGCGCGGTCCACCCTTTCATCCCCCGAGCTTGAGTACCGCCACTGGCCCCCCACGGTCCACGCGCACACGGTATCTGAGGACCGCCCCATTTTCTGTATATAAACCCCATTGAATGCATTATATGTCGATTCTTACACTAAACACGTCGTAATAAATATTACACGTCACTGGTTAAGTCTTCCATTGCTCACCTAGCAAACATACATAGCATACAAGTACATACATACAAATCTACATACTATACATACATCATACATACATATACCATACTACATACATAATACTAGCATAATACATACATACATATCATACATGACATTCATACATACATACATACATACATCACATACATAACATAAATAGCATACATACATACATACATCCATACATACATACATACATACCATACATACATACCATACATACAATACATACATACATACCTACCATACAACAATACATACATACATAGCACTAATACATACATCACATACCTACATACATTACATACATGACATACATACACTAACATACTAACATACATTAACATAATACATACCATACATCATACATTACATACATACAGTAGCATAACATACATACATACATACATACATACATAACATACCATCACATCCCATACATAGCATACATACATAACATACATCATACTCCATCTCATACATACATACATACATACAGTACATTACATACATACATACAACATAACATACATACCATTACCATACATACATACATTACATACATAATACATCAACCATACATACATACATACATACATACATAACATACTATCCCAACATACATACATACATACATACATACATACATACATACATACATACTATTACATACATCATACATAAATACATACATACATACATACATAGCATACCATACATACATCATACATTACATACATACATACATACAACTACATAATACACTACATACATACATACATACAATACAACATCCCATACATACATCACATAACTAATACCTACATTCTCATACTACATACATACTATACATAACATAACATACTATACATACATCATATCACTATCATACAATACATACATAACATTACATACATACATACATCATACATACGTACATACATTATCATACATATCATTACATAATACAACTACATACATAACATACATACATACATCTTTGGGATAACATACATACATACATACATACATACATACAATACATACATACATCATACACTACATACATAAATGCATACATACATACATACATACATACATACATCCATAACATACATACAAGATTACATCCAACATACTATACATACATACATCACATACATACAGTCCATACATACAAGACATACCTACATACAGTACATACATACATAGATACAGATACATACCATACATACATACATCCATACCTAATACATACATACAATTACATACATACATACATACAATACACATCCATAAACATACCTACCTACATACCTAGCATACACTACAATACATACATACATTACATACATGACATACATACATACGATAATACATACATACTACATACATTACATACATATCATACATACAATAGCATACATACATACATACATTACATACATACATCATACATGACACTACTCATACAATACATACCATACATCTACATACGTACATGTACATACATAACATCGATACATACATACATAGCATACATACATTAATTACATAACATACACTACATACACCTACATAATAGTACATGACATACATTACAGACTACAAGTACATACATACGATCACATACAATACATACATACATACAATACATACATAACATACATAACCTACATCATACATACATACACATACATACATACATACAACAATACATTACATAATCATACAGTACCATACTATAATACACTACATACATACATACATACATACAATATCATAACATACTACAACATACTATAACTACATAAATACATACATACATACCTACATACCTACATACATCCATACATACATACATACATACATACATAACATAACATACATACATGACATACATACATACATACATACATACATACATAGCATACATGACCTACATACATTACATACAGTACACTACATACATCCATTACAGTACATAAAATACATACATAACATACAATACATACATAAACATACATTACATACACTACATCATACGATAGCATATCATACATACGATACATACAATACATACATACATAACATACATACATACATACATACATACATACATAACATACATAATACATACTACGTAAGCATACATACATACATGACCATACATTATACATACATACTTACATACATAGCATACATAACATTACATACATACACATAATACATAATCATATGTACATCTACACTACATCAACATCATACCCATGACATACAAACGACATCAAGTTAAGGCTTTATAAAAAATAGAAGATGAATAGGTGTAGCGGAACAATTTCACCTTGAAATCTCTTCTCGTGGAAGTAGAGAGGAGGAGTCCGCGCACTCGGGCCTGGGTCAGGTGAGAATATGGAGGAAATTTTGAAATAGCGCCCTCTCCCTCCCTCACAGCGACAAACATCATGATACGGTCTCTCTGTACAAGAGGAACTGTTGAAAAAGTTGTTTATCCCTCCGCGAAAACTGTTCTTTGAAAATAACGACCCTCACGCCGTCGTGAGCCCCCTGCTATAACGTCCTTTTACAATTAGAAAAGTCGGAGAAAGATCAGCAATAATGAGCCGTACGGAGAAAGAATATAAAGAATGAACCGCTCATTGAAAATAGTAGCCAGTTGTGTTTGGTTACCATTGGGTGTTGACATGTGAACAGGTTTGGTTACTGAGATCCCGTGAGATTTAACACACCATGGAAACCACTTTTTTCAAAGTGAACGAATGCTCAATCCTGAAGGCAGCATTTGAAAGTTCGATGACATGCCATGTCGCTTATTGGCTGATACTCATAAATTCTGGCCGATTCCAACATTCGTTCATTGACTTATTTTCGGTGAACCCTACCAGTTCGGGGGCCACTTCATTGCTAATGTTATCCGTCGTACTAGAGAGCAGTTCTTTGGCTATCGTACACATACGGATAAGTATAATAAGCTGATACGATCATTTCGGCGGCATACTTTTGGATACAGGACCCGGGTGGCCTGTTCTACCTCCCTACTGCCCACATCCCATCTCTTTTCTGGCAGCCGGTGATTCACCTCTGGAGACTGCTGCACCATGGCCCCTTTGCGGGGTACCGACTTTCTCTGGTCCCAGGTACCGTCCCTTGGTCATGGCAGGCGGAAATGTAAAACGCTTCAGGTTTCTCACCCATTACACCAATATTTATCAGAAGTCTACTTTAAATGAGTCGATTACGTGTCGTGAGCCTCTAATCCTTATCTTGAGTATTGGAGAAAAATGGAGTTGCCCCCCCCCGAGCTGAGATTTCACCGTTTTCTCTTTTCTGGAGAATAACTAATCACAAATATAACACCGTCGCAATCGCTGATACGCATTCATTTGCTAGCAGCGAAATGGATGCATCTCTCAAACGAGTTGGAGCTATGGGATGAAAAGTTCGGAGAGGTCGTTTTTGGGTGCCTGTATTCA